TAAAAAGAGATAAATAGAAAGAAATGAATAGAAAGATATGGGCAGACAGACAGACAGAGTACAAATGTGCGTGCATGTGTGTCTGGTGACAGACATAATATCTCCCACAAGTGCACATACATAACTACACATAACTGCCCCCCCCCCCCCCCCAATTCTACTTTCAAAGAGCAAGAGAAAGAAGGGACAGGTGCTTTCTCTCCACATCTTTTACATTACTACGCTTTTTCTCACCCATTATAAGAAAGCCCTCTTCTTGTTGAATTTCTTTCACTCCACAATTTTCACAAGAAAATAGGGGATTCATTAACCCTACTCAAGACAAGTAGCCCATATGGTATTTCACAGTACTGTACCAGTGATTTTCAGTGTTAGTTTTAGTAAGAGTTTTACGGGACTTGCAACGCATTAGGTCGTATTAGTGCTGCAGTAATTTTCAATTATGCAGTAAGGCACGAAGTGTCACAAGATATGACAGGCGTGTGTAATGTAATACATTAATTCAGCGTTTTGCTATCACATGCGGAAGATACGAGTTTGATTCCCCTTGTTGAGGAAATAATTTTATCTTTTTTTTTTTTATAGTAGAGGGTTTTACGCCGCTCGTAACTGCATAAGGTCATATGAGCGCCAAGGGGTGGGTGTCAACAGAGAAGTCTTTACAGGGAATCAGACTTACTCTGCTCACCTCTCTAGCTTCAAAAGCACGAAGTCTGCTTCAACTATCAAGGCACCCCGGAAATAGCGGGTCACAAGAAAGTGACAAACATACAAAAGAAGTAGAGGATAATGACCATAGTAAGGATGAGGAAAGAAAAAGCAGCAGTTCCCTTTTGTAGATCAGGCACAGTTATGAGCGTGACATGAATCAGCCCATTTACAATTCTACTGTGCTTGAACGAGAAATGTCCCCCCTTTGGGAATGGCCTAAAGGCACTAAGGTCAGTGGCACTGCCCCAGGGGAAAATAATTTTATCAAATATCCGCATCCATCAGTAGGCGATAAAACCTACCCAACCCCAGTTGAGCTTGACTAAAAATATAACAGCATCAACAGAAGAGTGAAGTAGCCTGCCTCCTAAACAATCAAAACGGCACAATAGAAAAAAAACACCTCAACAACTGAAACCAATACTTTTTCCATACACCTCGGAGCTATCTCCCAGCTTACTTTCCCCACATCCGCGAGCGTCCGATGAAACTTTTCTCTTCCGTCCTGACACTGTATGGGGAGGTGGTGCAGACTTCTTGCTGGAACTTTTGAACTTGATGGAGGTTGGAGGGATGAGGTGTCGTCTTGCGTCTGCTGTTCACAGCGATGTTCCAGATGTTCGCTTGTGAGGTAGCATAGTACAGACGAGAAACAGGCACGCAAAGGCGTAAGCTTTATCTTGGTGCTGTAGAAGAAGCACAAATAGTCAGTTCGAACAATATCATCATCAGACATCCCACAATTCATCCACAAAGCATTAGAAAGACTTCCTACATTGGCTTTTTTGACTGGCTGCCCCCATCCATTTCACCCTCTTTTCACCCTCACAAATACAGACAAATATATATGTAAACACACACCCACTCGCAGACACAAACACACTCACAAACACACACACACTCACACACATACACACACACATCACAAATACAGAAAAAACATTCGAAAACACAC